TTTTTTCCTTTTTTATTGATTTTGAAACTTAATTTTCTCTCTTCCTTCCCTTTTGTATGATTGCCTTGTACTGTCGTGCATGAAAAGGTTTAACTTCATGAATTAGCAAAATTCAAGGTTCATGATTACTGCCGATTTTGAGTCAAACTGAGAAATAATCACAATGCTGCTAAGAAAATCTTCAGCATGATCAATTTGTTGCTCCCTTAGTTTTCTCAACACAAATAAGCAGTTGCTTTTCATGCGCTTTTGGGTAATTCGCTCGCTCTACGATCAGTCTTAAGGCGAAATGAGTGACTTCTCCTGGTATATTAAACTGTCTGATTTACTGCCTTTCACCGGCGGTGCTCGTTATCTTTATTTTTGCTGTGATGGTTTTTAGTCCAAACTAAAACGGAGATAAGTTTTTGTATTTTTAACATTATAGTCAATAGTTCCTTAGAGTATTTTAGTCTAGTTTTAAACACGATTCCAGGGAAGACCATGTAAAATGATACTATTACGTGTATAAATAAAGATTGATGATGATGATGATGATAGTTTTTGTGCCATACTATATCTTTTATCCCAGTCCCGGTCTGACTACCTCACCAACTGAACGTTGTCTTGGCCAAATTTGCTTCAGCTAAGAGAATGACGAAAAATCATTCTTTCGTAGATTTTCTAAACTGAAACTTGTACTGCTAAGTATATAAGATAACCTACTATTTTTCTCTTAATTTTTTCAGTCGTGGCTCCCCCTCCCTCCCCTCCCTTTATGAAATGGTTTGCCGTGCTGGGTAAGAAGACATCATTGACCCTTTTACAAACTCCCAGAAGCGACTGGCTTTATCAGCCAGAAGATGCTATATTGATAGGTCTTGACATGACTAGAAATTCCTTATTTACTATTCATTAAAATGTATCCACAAAGTAACAGACAATTATGAAATTAGCATTGTTTATTTGAATATCGCTTTACAGGTTTCTTTAACAACATACTGCAAACCAGGAACCTTACAGCTGACAGTAAGCCAGTTCTTAACTGGTCATTTGATAGTATGAGAATTTGTTGTCTATTTCATACTAGACTACGACAAATAAATCCAAAACCTGGGTCAAAAACGTCCATAAACTCCTCTATAATTGATTCAACTTATCATTGAATCACAAAAAAAAAATACAGTGTTAAGTCTATAAATTCCATGAGATGTACCGAATCTGAAACCACATTTTACATGTACGTTATTGAATAATTTTCGTGACAGTGCCTGTTGTGTAAGAATAATGTCACTTGATTATCTGTTATTATGTTGGTTGAGTTTGTTGTTGGTTCTCTCCTTCGCTCCGGGAGGTTTTTCTCCGGGTACTCCGGTTTTCCCTTCTCCTTAAAAGCCAGCATTTCCAAATTCCAATTCGACCAGGAATCAGGTAGACGAAGAACCACTTTGTGGATGTGCTACCTCCAAATTATTATTTATTCATTATCTATTTATTTATTTATATCGTAATTATTATTTCTTTCTCTTTTCGTTCTTATTTCACGTATACCTTTTGCAATACTGTAAGGTTATATAAATTATAGTCATGCAAATAAAGGTTACTGTTGTTGTTGTCGTTGATTATAAATATATGAATGAAATCTTTAAAAATAGATGCTGTTAAATTAATAAATGGCGAAAAGACGATAAAGTTCATGTACTGAAACTATAAGTTAAAAAGTCAAAATCTATTTTACGTTTTTGCTGAATGACAAAAGAGACAATTTTAAAATTTTGGCGTAGTCCTAAAGTTCATATGCTGCAAAAGTTCCTTGAAACTTTAAAAACTCAGCCTTTTGAGATTATGGGCTAATTGGTCCATCAATAATATTTGTAACGATCTTCATGAAAGTAACAAACTTGTAATCGGGACCATACGGCAGATTGACAGCTTTCCTTGGGTCAGTGATCTTGTTTCCTTTTCCGTCAAGGTCAGTAACTGTATTTGCTCCAAGCTTTTGAGACCAGAATCCATTGCTATCCAAGCGATAACAATGGTAATCCACCTCTAAAAATAAAGAAATGTGTTTGTTTAGACTTTTTTCTTCACAAGTATAGTATAATTTTCCTTATCAATTGTTGTCGGTAATCGCACAAACTTCAATACCCTGATTACAATTCAAGAGGCCGCACTAGTTAGCTCCTTTCTAAGCAAATTAATGTATTTTCAGCGTGGTTAACAGCCCATTCAAACCTTCACTGAACTCTAGTCACCCACCATTCGAGATTACGAAAGTTCTCGTTAATTAGCTTACAGTCCATGATGGTGTGGGGTTTCCATTCATTTTTTTAAAGACGAAATTACTACAAGAAGCTTCCAAACTGAATGATAACGGTATACAGAAGTACAGTAAAAACCTGCGACTGAGTAAGACCTGGATTTTAAAGTTTGCCAGTTAGGCCCTCTCAATACAAAAACCTCTTCAGCTTAAAATTTGAAACAGGTTCTTATTTTCTAACCTCTTATCACTTCAACTGCAATGTAAATGCCAATGTTAAAAATCATATAAATTTTTTATTGCTACAATAATACAATTTCAACACAATCGGAATTCCGCTAATTTCTCAAAGTTGAAATGTGTTTTTCTTTTCTTCAGCAAATAAGGATCTAAATAGCCTAAATTAATGCTTATTACCATCTATGTATTGGGAAAATGCAGGTTCTCACCCACGGGTTTCTTCCGTGCCACTGAAGGATGGAGAAAAGGAGGAGACAAAAATGATTGTTTATGGTCACTCCGGAGAATCAAGAAGTGATAATTTTCGGATCACTATACATTTCTGCGAAACAGCCCACCTACCCCTCCCCTAAGCCAACATTTTGCCCTAAGTGAGAAGTAAGTGTTAATGTTGGTTTGGGGGAGGGGTAGGTAGGCACTCTTACTTTCAGCAACAAACAGGGCTATCAAGCAGTTTGGTTGTGGTGGTGCTTCGGGGCAAGGAGCACTTGGATCCACATCCATCTTTACTAAGCCGTCACTTTCGCAGGCCTTAATCACGTTTCCTGGAGTCATGGGATATGGGTACGGCTTATAGCCGCTGGCATATCCAGGCTGAGCAAAGCTGTTGGTGATTTTTTGGTTTGCGTAGTTGTAGCAGTTGTTATTTTGGAGGATCACTTGGATCTTGTTCCACCTATCCGGGTTATATTTAGGTGCATAGTGTTGTATCACCCCAACACCGCTCTTGTCTTCTTTGCTGGGAACTTGAGAACTGACTGGAGCCAAAGAATCTTGGGTCGCATCAGGCACTTTAGGCGAGACAGTTCCTAAATCGATGGCCCGTAAAATTTTCGGGCGCAAGTTGTCTTTTATCGACTCTTTTGGCATGGTGTCAAGCAGCAGCTTTTGCAGGTCCCCTGTCTCTTTGCCTAAAATCAGTTCTTCTCCATGTGCTCCTGATTGTTGTACTAAGAAACCTCTGAACCCAAGAAGAGCAGGAATATTTTTGTAACCGAAGATGTTGCCTTTGGCTCTTGCCTTGTCCAGAAGCTCTTTTATTTGTTGGAACTTCTCATTTTGAGAACCAATCGTCCAAACAGGATCAGGAAGACCACTGTATATCAGCAAGGTCACTTTGTATTCTCCTACAGTTTCATAAAAATAACAATAGTTTACTGCTTGGCAGGGTAAAAGGATAGATCATGCACATACACTAATACAGTCAAACCTCGTTAATACGGACACTGAGGGGACTACAGTGTTTCCGAATAAACGGGGTGTCCATATTAAGCGCGCGGGTTAAAAGGAGAGAAAATGTAACGGCTTTCTTTGCTCAGGGGCAAAGCAAACTGTACTTAGTAATGAGGTGTCAGTATTAAGAGGGTGCCCGTAAAACGGGCTTTGACTGAACTCTCATTCGGCGAGGTTCTGGACGTTCTGCGATACAGACTGGATGATGAAAGGCCTGGAAAGTTAAGTGTAAATTCTATGATAAATACTGAAAACTTGTCTCTAAGCAGTGTGTCAAACTGGGCATTCCCCTTTCCTACTATTAAGTTTGTTTTCAAAGACATCAACGGCTTAGACGGGGTCAAATTCTCAAGAAAGGCCACAACAATAGGATTTAGAAGTTTTGGATAGAGTTACGAAATACTAATGAGAAGGTGCAATCGACTAGTGTTTATAAACTTCACTGATGCATCAGCAAAATTCAAATCAAAATAGACAGCTGATGGTAGCGTACGCAAGATATTAAGGTTGGTTTCAGCTACATTGATTGAACGTGTATTCGTCAATTCTACTCCGTGGTAACAAGATTACTGATTGGTGGATTTAACTGGAACTGGAACTGATAACACAAAATTAAATTTACCGTCCATGCTTTGAGTATAGTATTGCTGATCAAGAGAGTTAACGGCTTGATTGGGAAGACTGTTCTTCGCGAACTGTACGCGGTTTTATCCACCCAGTTTCACCGCATGAACTGATTGGACTGACGATCAAAGCGTCTTAATATATCATTTGCTGAGTCATTTCACATTCTTTCAGTTTACTTTAATTGGAAGTAACAAGCTCACGAGTGACGTGAATTCCCAAGAAAGGTGGTCTCTGCCTGAACACGGTGGTTGAACACAACTCAACTAATCAACTGTTCAGGTGAACAGTGATGAAATTCTGTTGGTATTTCACTTTCACTGCTGCATTACTGTTTATCTAATACTGACCCTATTTTATAGTGACAAACGACGGTATTTTGGAAGCCAGATACTCAGACGTGACCTCTTGAATCTATGCGTAATCCTAGTTTATTTCTGAAACTGTTGTGCTCGTTCTAGACCCACTTATACCTGTTTTGGTTTTGCCAAAATCAACAACGTCCAGCTGAAAGTCTTTTATATGCTATCATAATGTGTCATTCTACAGAAAAATGGTCAAAATAATCTATAACCGCTTTCAGATCAAAGAAACCAAACCGGGCAACAATTGATATTCGTATATTAAGGAACTAGATCAATGCCCCTGTCCTCAACTCTCTGTTTATTCTTTTCCTCATTTAACGTGTACTTGGCTGAACTGATTACTCAGCGCTTTTCACTTGCTTGCAAAGCAGATTCAAAATAACTTTAGCACATGCGCAGTACTACGATTGCTTAAGGCATTGTTTTCTCAACATGCACCAGCTGATCTGAGGTCAGCAGTACTGAGTTTTGAGCCAAAGCCCGTGGGCTCCTATAAATAATGACCTTGCTGCCAAGAGAATCCTCTTTATGATCATTTTCCTGCTTCCTCAATTATCGAAACAAAAATTTGAGCAGTTAGTTTTGCACAGTCCAAAACTTTGAGGGAAAATGTCATCATGAATCCTGTTCTTGGCATGTACTTGCGGGGGGGGGGCATGCGTTTCTCGTATTATTTTACAAATTCAGGAGCCCATAATCAGCTCCTTGTAAATAAAATTACAACTGAAAATAAAATTGTCCCATCTGATTTTAACAACCTGAAAATAAAGAAAGAAAGAAGGAAAAAAGCTTTAGAAAAATAGACTGAGTACATGTGAAATTTGCTCTCACATTGAGAACGTAATTGGCAAGTACCCAGCAGTCGTGTTTTGCCGTGAGGGTAATCTTATGACATGCAATTGGTATTTCTTTACACAGACCTCTGCTCTTTAATTCATGTTTACTGGAAGGATACGAATACAAATATGGAATGCAAACACCAATATGACCTATTGTATTTCCTCCATTCAAGATAGCAGCAAAAAAGGCCATTTCCGAGTTGTCTCAAGCTTCTGTTTTAAAGCGAGGCTAAGAGCGAAGCCATTGATACGAATATTATTTTTTAGACTCGTGCAAATAAAACTCATTTTCACAAGGAAGTCAAGGAAGGTTTTGCACTAAGCCTCGTTTTGAAAGTGAGGATTTTTGAACTCGGAAATGGTCTATTGGGGTTGAAGAGATGCCTGATACGATCACACAACATTCACCGTTTTTGAAATTCTGCCCTGAGTTTTTAACCTGCATTCTAGCCGCCCACGCAGACGTTCTTTTGGCTCGTCACGCAATCCTGCCCAGGGGCAGGTTCGGCAGGAACACGTGACGCACCCCTATGAACGTCTGGCTACCTGCAACCAGGCGTTCTTTTTTTTGTTCGGGGAAAAGTGACAGGCAAAGGAGGAAAAAAGAAACGCCTGATACGAGTATGATACATTTACTTTTCAAGTTATCTACCGGCCCTGGGTGCTTAAGATAAACCAGTCGTAGATAGTCGATAAAAATCGATATCGGAAATCAATCGATATCATCGATATTAATCGATTTAATCCGCCGATTAGTATCGATTGATCTCGGAAATCGATAGAGATCGAAGTCACAGAAAAATACAATTTATCGATTATTATCGATTTAAAAGATCGAAGCAATTGATAGAAATCGAAAGTAATCGATAACCGATAGCTCTTCCAGCGACTTGATTTCCAAGAAACGCGGTCTCTGCCTGAACACAATTGTTCAACACAACTCAACGGATGAACTTGTTAGGCGACTAGTGATAAAAATCTCTTGATGATTTTCTGTTTTCGCTGCAGGATTTCTCCTTATTTTCTTAATCCAAAACTTAGGATTATTCAGACGTGACCTCTTCAATCTATGAGTGATCTGTTAAGTACTTGGCTTCTGAAACTGTTGTGCTCGTTTTGCAACCACTTATACTTCTTTTGCCAAAATCGGCGAGGCATTTTATGTACAATATTACGGATTTATTGCTAGGAAATAAAATCAGTGGTAAATTCTATATCAGACCAAGGAAACCAAAACCGGGCGCATATCATATTGCGGAATGACAGTCAGTGCGCTCCTTCTCAACTTTCTGTTTATTTTTCTTTTTCACTTCGTTTCTTAACAATTTCCCGGAAAAGTGCTGATTACTCAACTCTAAGGTTTAGCTTTTCAATTGCACAACACTAAGGTTGCTATAGGCATTGTTTTCTCCACACAATCTAACCTCAGGTCATGTTTTGAGCCAAACTGTGAAATAATCACAATGCTGTTGAGAAAATCTTCAGTATGATCAATTTGTTGCTCCCTTAGTTTTCTGAACACAAATGAGCAGTTAATTTTCATGAGCTTTTCCGTAATTCGCTCGCTCTACGATCAGATTTAAGGGGAAATGAGGGACTACTCCTGGTATATTAAACTGTCCGCTTTGCTGCCTTTCACCGGCGGTGCTCGTTATCTTCATTTTTGCTGTGATAGTTAGTTTTCAGTCCAAACTAAAACTGAGCTAGTTTTGTGCCATGCTATATCTTTTATCCCAGTCCCGGTCTGACTACCTCACCAAGTAAACTTTGTCTTGGCCAAATTTGCTTCAGCCAAGAGAATGACGAAAAATCATTCTTTCGTATATTTTCTAAACTGAAACTTGTACTACTGAGTATATAAGATAACCTTATTTTTTCAGTCGTGGCTCCCCCTCCCTCTCCTCCCTCTATGAAATGGCTTGCCGTGCTGGGTGAGAAGACATCACTGACTCTTTTACATTAACTCCCAGAAGTGATTGGCTTTATCAGCCAGAAGGATGCTGTATTGACAGGTCTTGATATGACTCGAAATTGTTTTATTTACTATTGATTAAAATGTATCCACAAAGTAACAGACAAATATGAAATTAGCATTGTTTATTTGACCTTCGCTTTACAGGTTTCATCAATAACATCCACGCAAACCAGAAGCCTTACAGCTGACATTAAGCTTCTTTAAACTGGTCATTTAATAGTATGAGAATTTGTTTTGTCTATTTCATACTAGACTACTACAAATAAATCGCGAAAACTGGGACAAAAACGTCCATGAAGTCCTCTATAATTGATTCAACTTATCATTGAGTCACAGAACAATACAATAAATTTAGTTGCCGTTTTTGTAGCAAATCGTACAAAGAGTGTTAAGTCTATAAATTCCATTAGATGTAACAAATCTGAAACCACATTTGACGTGAACGAAATTGATAATTCTCGTGACAGTGTAAGAATAATGTCACTTGGTTCTCTGTTATTAATTATTATTCTTTCTCTTTTCGTTCTTATTTTATTTTACGCAACTTTTGCAGTCTACTGTAAGTATTATTATAGTCATTCAAATAAAGGTTTTTGTTGTTTTTGTCGTTGATTATTAAAAAATGAACGAAATCTTTAAAAATAGATGCTGGTAACTTAATAAATCGCGAAAAGATGATAAAGTTCATGTACTGAAACTAGTAAGAAATCAAAATCTATTTTACGTTTTTACTGAATGACAAAAGAGACAATTTTAAAATTTTAGAGTCCTAAAGTTCGTAAGCAGCGAAGGTTCCTTGAAACTTAAAACTCAGGCTTTTGAGACTATGGAGGGCTGAGTGGTCCATCAATAATGTTTGTAAAGATCTTCATGAAAGTAACAAACTTGTAATCGGTAGCAGACGGATTGACAGCTTTCCTCGGGTCAGTGATCTTGTCTTTTTTTCCGTCAAGGTTCGTGACAGGCGTTCCCCCAAGTTTCTGAGACCAGTACCCTGGGGGATCAGTGTCATCCAAGCGATAACAATGGTAATCCACTCCTAAAAATAAAGAAATAAAGTACCAAAAAGATTTGTTTAGACTTTTTGCCTCATCGGTGTAGTATAATTTTCCTTATTAATTGCTGTCAGTAATTGCACAAAATTTAATACCACTGATTACAAGACGCCGCACTAGTTAGCTCCTTTCGAAGCAAATTAATGTATTATCAGCGTGGTTAACAGCCCATTCAAACCTTCACTGAACTCTAGTCACCCACCATTCGAGATTACGAAAGTTCTCGTATTAGCTTAGAGCCCATTCTATTTTTTGAAGACGAAATTAGTACAAGAAGCTTTGAAACCGAATCATAACGGTACACAGATGTACAGTAAAAACCAGCGACTGTGTAAGACCCTGGTTTTTAAAGTTTGCCAGTTAGCCCTTCTCTATACAAAAACCTATTGAGCCTAAAATTTGAAACAGGTTCTTATTTTCTTAAATCTTATGACTTCAACTGCAATGTAAATGCCAATGTTGAAAATCAAATAAAATTGTTTAATACAATCTGGATTTGAATAGCCTGAACTTATTACCATCTATGTAAGAACTTGGGAAAATGACAATTGTTCTCACGGGGTTTCTACCGTGTCATGGAGGTACAGGGAGTTGAGGAGAAGACAAAGATGATTGTTTATCGTCACTCTGGAGAAACAAGAAGTGATAATTTCTTACCTTCAGCAACAAGCAGGGCTATTAAGCAGTTTGGTTGTGGTGGTGCTTCGGGGCAAGGAGCACTTGGATCAACATCCATCTTCACTAAGCCGTCACTTTCGCAGGCCTTAATCAAGTCTTCTGGGGTCATCTTATAGGGATAATAGCCGCTGGCATATCCAGGCTGAGCAAAGCTGTTGGTGATTTTTTGGTTTGCGTAGTTGTAGCAGTTGTTATATCGGAGGATCACTGGGATCTTGTTCCACCTATCCGGGTTATATTTAGGTGCATAGTGTTCTATCACCCCAACATCGCCTTTGTCTTCTTTGCTGGGAATTTGAGAACTAACTGAAGCCAAAGAATCTTGGGTCGCATCAGGCACTTTAGGCGAGACAGCTCCTAAATCAATGGCCTGCAAAATTTTCAGGCGCAAATTTTCTTTTATCGACTCTTCTGGCATGGTGTCAAGCAGCAGCTTTTGCAGGTCCTCTGTCTCTTTGCCTAAAATCAGTTCTTCTCCATGTGCTCCTGATTGTTGTACTAAGAAACCTCTGAACCCAAGAAGAGGAGGAATATTTTTGTAACCGAAGATGTTACCTTTGGCCCTGGCGTTGTCCAGAAGCTCTTTTATTTGCTGAAACTTTTCATTTTGAGAACCAATGGTCCAAACAGGATCAGGAAGACCACTGTATATCAGCAAGGTCACTTTGTATTCTCCTATAGTTTCAGAAATAAAAGTTGTCTGCTCCTTAGTATAGTTATACTTAAAGGCATGTACACGCAAATAATGTTCAGATACTCTCATTATGTTATAACCGACTGGATCATGAAAGGCCTAGAAATTTGAAGCGCTAATTCTAAGAAACACACTGAAAACTTGATCTAAGCAATCTGTTAAATTGTATTCCCTTGGCTTATTATTCAGCTTGTTTTCAAATACATCAAATACTTGCTTCGACGGAGTTAACTTCTCTAGGAAGGCATGAAAAGAATAGTATTTAGGAGTTTTGGAGATTTATGAAATACTGATGAGAATTTACAATCGACTTGTGTTTATAAACTTCATGCATTACCGAAACTCAGAGCAAAAGAAACAACTAATCATAGAAGAGAATATTTAAGGGGCTCACCGTCCATGTTTTGGTTACGGTATTGCTGAACGTATCAAGAGAGTTAAAGACTCGATTGGGATTTGTTCTTTGAGGACTGAACGTGCGTTCCTGCACCCAGTTCACCTTATGAACGGATTAGACTGACGATCGAAATGTCTTTATATATCATTTGCTGAGTCATTTCTCAGCTCTTCCAGTTTACCTTATTTGGAAGTGATTAGTTCACGAGTGACTTCAATTTCCAGGAAAGATGGCCTCTAACAGAACACAGTTGTTCAGGAACACAACTTAACATGAATTGTCAACAAAAGATGACAAAGATCCAAATCTCATAACATTTTATTTTCACTGGAGCATTTCTCCTTGTTTCTCTAATCCTGAATGTTTTTTACAGTGAAAAGGGGCGAAGTTTTTACAAGCAGTGTTCAAACCTGATTGCTTGAATGTATGCGTAATATGAAACTTATGAAAATGTTGTGCTTGTTTTGAACCCAGAACAAACACAATTTTTTTCTTCTCCAATTCTAAGAAAAACAGTAACCACTTGATCTAAGCAATCTTTTACATTGTATTCCCTTGTCTTACAAAGTACTCAGCTTGTTTTCAAATACATCACTGAAATACTTGCTGGGACGGTGTTAACGCCTCACGGAACTGAGGAAAGAAAAAAACAGGATTTAGGAGTTCAAAAAAGTCTCATATATATATACTGTATCATTGGGTCATTTCTCAAAGAATAAAACCGATGGTAAATTTTAAACCCATTTTCAGACCTCTAAGGAAACCAAACCAGGCAGCGTATACCTATATTGTGGAACTGTAACCAATGTGCCCCTTCTCCACTTTCGATGTTTACTCTGTTTCTTAACAATTTCCCGGAAAAGTGCTCTTGGCTGACCTTATGGAGAAAGAACCGATTACTCAGAATTGATTTTAAGCTGTTCAGTTGCACAACAAGTTTAAAATAACTAAAGAACATGCGCAATGAGATTGATGGAAGCATACTTTCTCCACACAAGCTGCATCATGACTTAAAAGTCATGATTACTGATTTTGAGCTAAAATGTGAAATAATCACCATCCTACTAAGAGAATTCTACGTATGATAATTTAGTTGAATTCTTGCGTAAATCGAGCTGCTAATTTTGCAAATCCAAAACTTTGCGCGATAATTTAGTTGTGAGTCGTGTTGTTAGGCACGTACTTTCAGGAGGCGTTTCCCACATTTTTTTCACAAATTCAGGGGCCCTTAATGAGTCCTTTACAAATTAAACTATATCGTAAAATAAAATGATCCTATCTGATTTTAACAACCTGATATATAAATAGATAACTGAAGCTATAGAAATAGTGCATGTGAAATTTGTTTTCAGTTCCAAACTAGGACAGTTTTGTTTTCGTTTTCTTTGGACAGCTTAATTGGCAAGTGACCAGCAGTCGTGTTTTGTGATGGTAACCTTTTGACATGGGATTGGTATTTCGAAGCATAAGCTTCTTTAGTTCATGTTTACTGGAACAAAACCATCGCTAACATGGAATGCGAATACCAACAAGGTCTATTGTATTTGTGCTATTCAAGACAGCAGTAAATTGAAAAGATGCCTGATACGCTCAAACAAAATTCACATTCCGTGAAATTCTGTCAGTTTTATATGATTATCTCTTTTTGTAAAAAATTAAATCCGCAACAAGTTGAGTCACGTTACACGTCGAACAACAAAATGATCATGTTATGATCAGGACGTGTTACAAAAACAGCTTATCACGTGACCTAAAATGCCGGAAGAAGAAACAGGCAACCCAGCCGCAACACTTAGCCCAGTTAAAATATCAACTATCCTCGAATCAAATCAACCCACCAGTTTCCTTTTCTGCTTCAAGAAATGCTTTTCGGTTTCAGCAGAGGGCCTAAAGCGTCCAACGTGATATTACCGTATTTGCAGTCTTTCTCCGTACGGAGTCGCTGTTGGATTTTTCTACGACACCACCTCCCGAATAACGGTCGTCGTGGAAGCATCTAAACCAACGGCACAGCAATGAATCTGAAATATTCCGGTTTTTGTTGTTGTTGTTGTTGTTGTTGTTTTGTTTTCTTCTTGCGTAAGCTAAATCGTTTTATAGTTTCTTTTTTCGGTTTTTTTTTTGTTTTGTTTTGCTTTGTTTTTCAGATTTGAAGCAAACACATGTCCTCCCTCGATAAAACTAAATTGACTTTTAAAGGCGATCGTCATCGTTGCCGTACTTCTACAGCTAGACTGTACACTCAATAAAGGAAAATTGCTTCCCTGGAAGACCTTGAATGGCAAAATTTCTGTGGATAAGAGCAGGGGGAGTCCAATTCAAGATTTTTTATCCTTTTTTCAGGGAATATTGTAAAAGACAAAACACAAAAGTAATAGATAAATAACCAGTAAAAACTGCATGATACAGTGAAACCTCTATTAAGCGGACCCCCAATTAAGCGGACATCCTCTATTAGATTCTATTAAGCGGACACTAAGCCGGGTCCCGAAATTGAGGTCTTGTATTTCGGACATTGTGTTTATCAAGAAAATGAGACATCTTAGATAATTGGTTATTTACTGGTGTCAGAAAGAGAAAAAACAATAGATCAAATTGGAATCAGTATCACGTGTTAACATGGGATTTATTGAACTGTTTCTTGTGATCACGGCTGACTGCTCTTTTTAATTAACCAATTGTCACCTTCCGCTGATAATCATGAAATAAGAATACAGCAACCTGGGCCAATAAACTCTTTAAAACTAACAACTTAATTCATTTCATTAAAAATATATTTCAATGTCAATTAACGTGAACGAAACTACGTAGTTAAAAGTGCTGTCCTAAACTTAACAGCGCCTAGTTCACGGGAACAATTTAAGTTGGCGTATTTGAGATTTCCATCAGTACGTCTATTCAATTTATGAGGCAACTATGTAAGTTTAAGAAGACATTCTAACTGAATTTGTCTCTAATCAGCTGACCCTGTTATATAGGGTCACTGCATGAAGCCAATCTAACGTGGAAAATGACCATATTTCTGGCATTAACCTTTCTTTCGGGTCACCGATTTCACTGTCACCCAGGTGGTACTAACTTGAAAATTCCAAGCAGATCGATCAAGGATATATATCTGGCTCAAAAAGAACCCCTTTCACAACCACACATTAAACTTAACTCATACAAGCCACACAAAACAGGGGACAAATCCTGGTAAGAAGCAAGTATTTTACTTTCTCATTCTAACAAGAGAGCATAGAAAATTCCACTTGCCAGCAAATAATTTGTATTTTTTAAAAGCTCTTATTTTACAAAAAAATTCTTCTGTGGTGGCAGAGCTTCCAAAAAACTAACTTCTGTAAAACAAAAAAAGAAATTACAAAGTCCTTTAAATAAATTTTCCTATATTAGTTTCAGTCGTAGTATTAATTACACTGGCATACTCTTTTGTTGTTGATGCAGCGGTTATAAAGGAATTTTATATGCGATACCGCCTAATTTGAGAAACACCAATATCGAACAGCTTGATCCTTAAAAAGAATAAAACATTCCTTTTATGCTTTAATATGATACAGCACTTTTTATTTCAATTCTTTTGTGTTACTTTATAATCCACGTGCGTGGTTTGAGGTATTTTTTTATTGAACAGCAACACGAAATGAGAAACGCCTTGTCTGCGTAGCGGGCGGTTTGTTTCGCGAGAGTGGGAAAAGAGCTGCGAAAACGCGCCAAAAAGCCACAAGGCCCATCGCGTTTTCCCAGCTCAGTTTTTTTGCCTCTGGCCAAACAAACCACCCGCTACACAGTAGCGTGAAATTGCACTTGTGCATAAAGAGATATTGCTGACGTGAGTCACGAGCAAAATTGTTGCTATGTATGTATGTATGTATGTATGTATGATATGCTCTCGTGCTCCCAATAAAATGTAAAGTATATATAATACAAGCGTTACCTCTTCTGGTAGAATTACGAATGCTATTCGATTTGGCGTAATCTTACCCATGTTTATATCTATATTATTCAGTGATATATTGATCATATCAGACAAATATTCTTTGTGATTTATTCATTACCTGCTTGCTTTTTCGCAGAAAAATGCCCATAGAAGGTAGTTTTTAATCGCCTCGTTGTGATCTCTAGGATTTCACCCTTCCCTCCCCCTAAAACAGGACAGAAAAAAACAAACAAACAAACAAAACAAACAAGGATCCAACCCTTTATTTTAGCCTCAAAGCTTGCAGTCATAATTTGTCAGTAACATATCTACTATACTTGACTTCTTTGTAGAGAAGTTTTCAATAAAGCGTTGTGAACCAAACCAATAGAGCACAGACGACAAAATCAACCAAATCTTAACTTTGATTAATTAATAAATAAAGCTAAGCGCGGGAAAACTTGTTCCAAGGAGTCAGTTTTGGTTTTACTTATGATTGGATGAAAAAGTGCATGGCGCGATTTTCCAATCGCGTAGCGTACGTATGTTGCAAAACCTCTTTTAAACTCAAAATAAAAGCGTTCTACATGTAAACCTAATCTTAATCTAATCGTTTTTAATTCTGCTCCTGTTAAATATTGTAAAAAGTAAAATCACAGCTAAAGCAACAAACACTCCTATTAGGATAGCAGGGACCATCGTGATATCATCTGGAAAGGAAAAAAAATAAACATCGATCATTTTCAAATTTTACTTTCCAGACATTTCAAGAACTTTCTTTGGTCAGTGCTTGGCGAGTCTTATTCATTTTAGACTCTATGGGCTCTATCTGATTTATAGTTACTTGTGAAGTAGAATTGGGAAGAAAAAAAAACATGAAATCAAATGAGATACATGCAGTGTATTTCGTATACTTAGATTCGATTGTTATACCTTTCTTGTCGTCCGCTTTCCTAGTTGTTGTCAGTACATCGCTCCTTGTGGTTGGTTTAACTGTTTCTGCAAAACTTGGTAGAAACACATTCCATAAAGCCATCTTATTTGGACGCATCTTGTACCTTACTGTCATATTTGAACTAAGTCCCATGTATTCTCCTCGCTCAGCGGTGTACTGGGGCCAACTTGTTCTTAAAGGCGTTGGTCTATTGGGATTTCTGAAATCACATACAGAGAAGTGAGGATTGTACAGTGCCATGATGGAAATGCATTTGTGACATTAGATCTGGGCTCTGAACTGAATGGCAATGGTTAGAGATAATCAGATAGTTAGCGTTTTGATCATTTTGACACATACTTACTTAGCTTCCAATAAAATCACTCATCTTTATCGAACGTGGCAAAAATCATTACTAGCAAATAGCGGAGCCCTATAACCGAGGTTTCGTTTAGCAGATCGAATTGCTGATTCCATCAAAGGCTAAAGTCTGATAGCCGAAAGTGCATTTTAAATAAACCTTAAACCAGAGAACTATTTTAGTTCTTTTCATGGCCATGTTCAACCCTAGTTAGGCATCCCTTTTTTTTACTAAAGTTACTTTCATTTGGCACATGTGCTCACGACTGCTGGCGGCTTCTTTTTTCTTCGTTTACTGAGATTTGTAATATGATAAACTAACATCTTTGTTATACTTGCCAACTCAAATACGTTTTCCGATTGGAGGAAAACGAGTCACGTGTCGTGGGTCAAAACTCACTAACTCCCTAGGGCGAACAAACCTCACTACCTCCCTGAGAATACAACAACATGAACTTTTGACTCGCACGTGATCAGGTTGTGCTTGTTGAAACCACGGCAAATAGGCCACGTATTCTAACATGGTTCCGAGGCTTTCGGGCCAAAATTGCACATTTCAAAGGTTCTTTTGTTCCTCAGTTGCCAAAAGACACTTGGATACAAAGAAAACAACGCCAAATATAGGCCTTTGTCCCGAAAGCCACGGATCCCTGTGTTTTACGTAGTCATACACTGCGTATTCCAACGACCACCACATATCGTATAATCAATCGCTTGATGTTTATTGAAACTAACATCTGTAGCATAAGCAACTGAAGCAATTGTATTATTCGATCTGAAACAGAGCAATACAATTCGTCGTTATGCAACTGGCTCATAATCTCTAGAACAATGATTTCACTGAAAAATACCTCAATTCGAAACTCTAATTTCACAATTATGCTTTACTCACTTCTGTGGCGAGTCGTAGCTTAAAACGGGTTAGCCTTAAACTGGTTAGCTTGAATCTCTGGTACTCGTGAGCAATACCGGGAATTACATATTTACATATTTATAAATAACATTTACGGGAAACAGGTGAGTTTTGGGTAAGTATTTGGTGTAGGCACTCAGTAATGGTCCGGGTAGTTACCCTACAGTACCCTAACATACCAATGAAAGCTAACAGCAAGCAAAACGCAGTGAAGCTAGACGCAAGCAAAATAGGTTCTCACGTAATGGTCCGGGTAGTTACCAAATATGGTAAGTAGTGCCTACATCAAGTAGTGAGTTTGTTCCACTCGACCTCAAGGGTCTCACTGTTTCCCTTGGAGCCAATCTTTAAGTGCTTAATAATGCCGAAACGTGTAGTATTTTACTAGAGTAAGTTGTCTCTCATTGTTAATTCTGCGGAGGCCTCGAAGATTCGATCTAAAAAAAAGGCCTCGAAGATTCGATCTAAAAAAAAGTTTCTTACAAGCAACGTAGTTCTATTGGAATAGGTGTAGTTTTTCTGACCGCTGTTTCCTCAGATTCAGTTAAATTTTCTCGCACAGGATCAAATTTGCCAAACTTTGTAGAGACATCTGTGGAGTCAAGTAACCAGTACCGATATATTTCGGAACAAATCTAGCATGTGAGGAGTGTTTTCACCAGCCTAACCACTAGAAAACGAGAAATTACGATTGAGAGTAATTCATGGCTTCTCTTGTTAAATATATACTGACCCTGTTTTGGCAAAGTTAGCCCATATCGTCATCATTTCCTTGCTGAAGTTTATTTCTGCCGTAGTTGTAAAGTTCTTGGGCATTAACAGAGGAAAACCAAACGTGTAAGCCATGTCAGCTCCATGAAATATCCCCCACCAGGAGGGTATTGGCAGTAGACTGCGTGAAAATCTTTTAGGTGCCATTTCAAGTTGATACAAGTATGTTGAAGATTCTTTCTTTACAAATTCATTGGCCGACTGAATAGCGGGTGCTTTGAAGTTTGCGTCTGTGTTCATGTCAATAAACTGCTGGCGTAGGAGATACGGATCGGTGGCATTTGACCAGTCTGTGTATTCATAAATCAGCAAGTCGAGGATTCGAGAGTTTTGATTTCGCGTCCACGTTCGATTTTTGATCACGTCTACGAACAAATTCCTTGACATTCCTTTAGATAGGTCAAGAGCTGGCATGACACCTGAAGACAAATAGGATAGTAGAAATTAGTGCATGAATCATCATTCTCGAATAATAGCGACTCATTTACTCGCGCACTATTAGTCGATCGGAAGGTCGGTCGGCCGCTCAGTCAGTCAGTCAGTTAGTCAGTCAGTCAATCAGTCAGTCAGTCAGTCGGTCGGTCACGCAGTCAATGAGTCAGTCAGTCATTTATTTAGTCCGTTCGTTCTTCAGTCAGTCAGTCAGTCAGTCAAGCAGCCAATCAGTCAGTCAGTCATTTATTTAGTCCGTCCGTCCGTCCGTCCTTCAGTCAGCTAGTCAGTTATTTATTCAGTCCGTTCGTCCTTCAGTCAGTCAGTCAGTCAGTCAGTCAGTAAGTCAGTCCGTCCCTCAGTCAGTCAGTAAGTCAGTCAGCCACCCAGTCAGTCAATGAGACAGACCGTTAGAACTGTTACTACCGTTAGCGTTAGTGTTACATGACTGCTATGTTTTATTGTAACGGTTATCATTACTAGATCTATTACTACCACCGTCACAAGATATATAATGAGGCAAGGGCGGAGAATGAAAACGATACATTTATAATTTTAATTTAACATTCAGTGATCTCGCATTTCAACAGTGCTGATGATTAGATTTAAAGTTAATTTGGGTGCCTATCACTATAGCAGAATCATAGTTAATAGAGGGGAATGGCTATGACGCCCGGAACACATTAAAGGAGCAAACAAAGATGCCAAGATTTATGTTGGAAGGTCCACACCGTGCACAATCTTTTGTTTTGCCTTCATACACTATGCATGAATTACGTAACCAAAACGTTTCTATTGGTTAGTTCCTCGGTCAGTGGTAGGCAACTATTGTGTTTTATGCAGGGTCAAGGCCAAAAATGAGAGCAAAAACATACAACAAAGAACTTTGTCGAATTTCACAACGATTCCCTTCTATTAACTATGGCAAAATGAACCTTATTAGCAACTCAATCTGCCCATCGCCGGTTGTTTAAATCAAATCAATTCAGTCAGTTCAACCTGGAAAACCATTGGCAAAGACTGTTCCATCATCTCTTGTGAATCCAATCATGACATTGCTCTTGTTGAACTTTCCGGCCTTAAGGAGTTTGATGGGGGAGTCTGGAACAATCAGGTAATAGTAAGATGCACAGAGTGATAAGATCATATTCGTATATTTTAACACATACACTGACATAAACTTAAGTTGTTTTTTTTTTTCGTCAGTTTTTCCGTGGTCTTGAATGTCCACTCTAAAGCTAATGCATAGAGAGCGAAATAGTTTGCACACTGAGTGAATAAAGAACCCAACTCAATTACTGATGGCTTGGTGCAATGATTTTCTTCAAAAAGAATATCGTCCATTTTACACAAAATAAAATAAAAGTAACTATTATATAATAGAAAGTGTTAGTATACCGTTAAAAGAAACGCCTAAAGATTCCGGGAAATCAAGTTATAGAACTACCGCGTAGGGTGCATTCGTTCGAGACCATCTTGATCACAATCAATGATCCAAAATCCCTTGGATCATTGTACTTAAAGGAAGCGGCGAATCCTTGCTCAGGGTGGATTCTTCGCTTCCTTTGATGCAACAAAATCCGACCGATCTTGGATCAGTCTTCCTGATAAAAATCCCGAGGATGGTCTTGATTAGGAAAATGGGGAAAAATAAAAGCAATCCTTAAATCTAAAATGAATGCGCAGTCCGGTAAGTGTATTAGGGGTTCATGTTTCATATATTGACAGGACAAACAATTAATTCAGCTTTCATTTTAAATAAATACGCAAGTTGCAAACAGATTTAGATATATGGAGAGCAAGAAATCGCACATTGTTTGAAAGAGTTGTGATAATTTACTTATTTATTTATTTGTTTTTTGGTTTGTTTCGTTCTTTATTTTAAGGGACACAGTCAGCTTTGGAACTGCGCTAACCTTCTCACTTTCAAAAAAGTTCACCGATTTGCGCTTGTGCAGTAAAACTTCCAATTTATACTTCAAGTAAATAACTTTTTGTGTAGCTGTTTCGTTTTGGCGCCAAGATGCATGTAGTCGCAAAGGATCTGGCGACGAATTAGCCTTTTTATATAAATAGGCGTAACGTACTTAAATACTTGCCTTGCAATCAACCGAACACATCCGCTAAAGATCATGTAAAGAGCCGTGTAAAGATGTATGGATTACCCAACAGAATTGTAAGTAGCATTTCGCTGCGAATATTTCAGGCTTTCAAGTGTAATTTCATATTGGAAACGCAAATCTCCCATTTGCTTTGCAGTTTGACTGTTGCCGATGATGTTACCCGTTGGCAACCAGGGTACAAATAAAGCGGTTGTCTGTGCATCGATTGTAGCCTTCAAATTTAAGTAACGCTTCGCTACGTAAGCGCGTATCATTCACTCTAACCTGGAATCAAAGTTCATGTATAGAAATCCGCACCAATTTTGCAGTATTTTGCTTGATTTTCAATCGTTTACTGATATTATGATATTATCATACTATGATATTATTTTTATCATACCTGGTTAAAAACAAAATTTATCGCGTCTCCGTTTAATATATGCAATTTAGCTATAAAATGATATCTAATGCGCATGTGCGCCAGCTGACGGTGTCTCTTTAATAATTTGCCACACAACAAAATTCAAAATGATTACAAAAGGAGGGCAATAAGTTAATAAAAATTAAGTAACAAGCAAGTTTCTAGCACTGCCACAACTAGTTTATTCAGCCTCGACGTCAAAACCAAGGAAGTCAAAGCTAGTAATTATTTATTATTGTTGTAAGTACTGTATGAATGTTAAGTGAATAATTTCTAGATTGTAAAAAAAAATGGAGCTAAAAGAAATAGTAAATAAACTAAAAAAGATCATCCTGAGGAACCAACCATTCGTTGTAAACCAAAACCAAAAATAGAGACACAGAGATGAAATAGTATACAATTCCCATACTGGTTGTCCCTGCGAGAGACATTGTTTGATTATAGCATAACACATACCTGGCATAAAATAACCATCCACAACCGGTGCAAAGCGGAAAAAGTTGAGATAATCAAACACTTTTAATTGAGCGGATGAAAGGTCTTGGAACGATTTCTTTTTCGCACAGGCTTTCAGTGAAGCCATTTCGCATCCCACATTTTCAGCGAAGCTCCTGGGAAAACGATCAACAAAAAAATAAATAAAGCAAAAAAGAAAAAGAAAAACTGCCACATGTAACAGAAATGCAACAACCGAGAAAAAGAGAACATTAAATGTTACCTGAAGAGAGGACAGCCAAAATGCTGAATTCTGATAAATGCTTTACCTTGCTCGCAATTCAGCTTCATCTTTTTCAAACAGTGCTGACAAAGTAACTGCCGTTCCACTCTGTATGATAACATTCTGGTACAAACCGCTGGCCAACGGGGACAGAAGCAACAGCGCAACATTCATTCCGCCAACCGACTCACCAAATATAGTGACTTTCCTAGAATCTCCGCCAAATCTTGAGCCAAAATAAATACCGAAATAAATCAAGTGATGACAGCGAAGAATAATCCCGTTCCCAGATCTCTTGAGGGCGACGCCTTCGGCTTCTTTCACAAGCGATCTGGGAAGGGTGTTAACCCTTTAAGTCCCAATAGTGCTCAAAATCAATTTTCTCCTAACGATATCCAAAAACTATCATGAGCATTAACAAAATGATCACAAAGAGAAAAATATTTGATCTTTTACCAAATTCTCTCAACAAATTCTTCAAGGAAATGTATGGAGATCAGTTTGGAGAATTTGTATGTGGATATTGGGACTTAAAGGGTTAACGTGTACTGCAGTTTGTTACCCAGTAGAAACAAAGGTAAATACTCTTTTCTCTGGCCTTGGTATTAGACTTAACAAGAGATATAACACGCAAACTGCGGTGATAAACATGGCAATGAGACGCGTTGTTGTAAAACAAACAAAAAATCAGTCTAATTACTAACGTTTCTTTAGTGTGAACATACATTTTTAGAAGTGATCGATGAGGATAAAAGAGCGACTAAATTTAAATTTAAGATAAGTAACTAATCAATATTTGAGGAACAACAACAATCACAGAAGTGAGAAATTTGCATATATTAAAAACATGCAAGCTAATAAAATTAACGCTTTTCGCTGCTATTATTATTATTATTATTATTATTATTATTATTATATTATTATTATTATTTCGCTGCTAACATTACTGGTCATATGACCAGTTGACCCAGCTACTCGTGATTGCTATAAAAATATTCAGTTCTTCTGTCATGCAATCTACGTTTTGTTTCTTCAATCACTCTTACGCTCACGTTGTTGTTCGTTACTTTCTCTGTTGCGCTCATCTTTGAACAGAGTCGTAACGCGTCACGCTTCCATGAATAAGATACGTGCGAGTCCGAGAATTATTTCCTCGCTTTAATCGAGGAGGAGTGAGGTAAAAGGTGATTAATGAGTGGATCTTACCTCAAGGTTGGTCAGTCTTTCTTTTAAAGAACATTCATAGCAGGCGACAATAAAAGCAGTCGACTGAACCTACCTTTCAATGTTTTTGTTCACCCATTTCATGGCCGCTATCTGATCCAGCATGCCGTAGTTCCCTTTCAAATTATCGCTATAGGAGCTCAAGAACCCAAAGACTCCCAAACGATAAGCAGCCGTGACAACAATCACGTTACCCTCGGTTGCCAGGAGGCTACCATCGTAAAACAGAGTATCCCCTATGATATAAGCACCGCCATGAATCCACAACATAACTGCAAGCTGAGAGTTGTTTGTGGCATTGCCTGGGACATACACATTTAGCAGAAGGCAATCCTCGCTCATAAGTGAGAGTCTACTCGGCTGACCGGGC